GGAAAGCCCTTCAGGAATGCGCGTCAATACCAGTGCCCGACCCGTGCTTTGCTTTAGTGGACGACTATTGGATGAGTTATGTCTTAAACCATAAATTCAATCGAAAACTCAGGAAATTGTCGACAAAAGCGAGCGATTCGAGTGATGCCATCGTCAGCCGGACTGAAGACTCGGATGAAATCGGTTTAGCGTTATATACGAGACCTGAAGTCGAGCAAAACAAAATCAAACTATACATCCATCACATGCTTCAGGGGTGGCCTGTTTGGGACAGTGATCAGGAAAATGATATCAAATTGGATGAGAAAAGTGAGGAAATGATGGCTAAAAGTAAGCGTGAATTTTGGGACAAATTATTCGTTGGATTCAATATATCGTCGGAAATAAGTGAAGAAAGTGTCAGAGATTTGGTGGAAATGGGAGTGAAATGCGTGAGAATAGGCGCCGTAGGGTTAGGCGATAAAGTGGACTATGAGTTGAAGGGATTTGTGGCCAATAGAGACCTACAGATGAGACAATTGAAGACAACTATATCTCTATTGAAATCCAATGGCATTCGTGTTGTGCTAACCCTTTGCCGACAATTGTCTTCTCCAGAGATCTGGGAATTCATTGCAAAGAATTTGTATTCAGAGGAGAATGTCGTCGGATATGATCTCATTAATGAACCCTTCACTGCATTGGAAGAACAATACGAGTTCGTTGACAATGATCCTGGTAATTATAAATAACTATTTTTACTATTATAAATTATAAACATTAATTATTCTAATACTAAATACAAAAATTATTATTTGTTTTATAACTTAGGTTTAACTGAACTAATGTCACGATATATCCAAATGATTGAATCCATCCGTAAAGTCGACAAAATAACTCCGATTATCATTGAATCGAGTTATTGGGCGACAGTCGACGCCATTCCCAAGTTATCCATCGAAAACCTGCTGACTATCGACACAAACATTTTGGTTTCCTTTCATTTCTATAAATTTGTATTCAGAGGAGAATGTCGTCGGATATGATCTCATTAATGAACCCTTCACTCCATTGGAAGAACAATACGAGTTCGTTGACAATGATCCTGGTAATTATTAATAACTATTTTTACTATTATGAATTATAAACATTAATTATTCTAATGCTAAATACAAAAATTATTATTTGTTTTATAACTTAGGTTTATCTGAACTAATGTCAAGATATATCCAAATGATTGAATCCATCCGTTTAGTCGACAAAATAACTCCGATTATCATTGAATCGAGTTATTGGGCGACAGTCGACGCCATTCCCAAGTTATCCATCGAAAACCTGCTGACTATCGACACAAACATTTTGGTTTCCTTTCATTTCTATGAACCCATGCTTTTGACTCAAAGACAGAGAAACAAAAATCGTTTCGCATATCCCTCACAATTACCTGATTATGAAAACATCAAATATCCGCAAATGATTGAAATCAATGACAATTATATTGCCGATAAATTCTTAACAGCCATTCAATGGTCACAAAAGTTTAACATCAGACTAGTTTTGGGTGAATTTGGTATCAGTCGTGAAGTATTGGGGGCTGACCTGTATTTGGATTGTATAATGAAATTATGCAAAACACATGCCATCCCCTCATTTATCTATAGCTTTAGAGATGAGGACTGGGATTCAATGGACTATGAATTGGGCGATAATATCTCGACGGGGAAAGTGAAACAAAGTCTAAAGCAAAACATATTAATGCAAACAATATTGTCTGGCATTAATGAAAGTAGTGTTTAATTTAAATTTAATTATAACATAATTTTAATGATATTACATTAATAATATGTATAAATCATTCACAGACAGGCGTTAGAGCTTGGTCAAGTATTAGTAATATTAGTTATACTTTCATACTGTATAAACTTATGGAGAATAACACATGAATGAATTTATATTTAAAATCACTAACGCCTTTCTATGAATGGTTTAATCATATTATATATTTGCTTTAATATGTTATTGATTTATGCTATTTTATAAATTAATCATTTTAATAATTATTACATTTAACAATTATTTATTGTTAATTTACTCAATAATAATGCTTTTTATTTTTCTTTAATTAATTGATTTTTATTCTACTACATTAATTATTATAATTTATTTAATATATTAAATCTTGATTATCAATATTTGGATTTTATTTTTAATTTAATATTAATAACTTAATTGTTTAAATGTCTCCCATATGTTTTTATTTTTAAATAAATCATTTAACACATGACTAAATTAACTTGTTCAAACACATGATTAAATTGGTTTGTTCATATTAATTATGTTTGCTAAACTCTTTGTTCTTTCTGATACAACTAAACCAAAACCATCTAGGACCTATATTTACGGAATATTCCATTTAGTCATTTTAACAGATGTCTACAAATTGTAGACTGATAAATGATCGAGCTATTTGTCACAAAGGTTTGACGTCAGACTAGTTTTGGGTGAGTTTAGTAACTAAACTTTAGTATCAATCGTGAAGTATTAGGTACCTGTATTTAGATTGTAATATACGAGAATTGCAATTTAATAGTAGCCTTTTCCATTAATTGACATGAATATAAAAATTAATCATTTCTATACAATTACCGATAATGTGTGAATTTAGATATTGATATAGATTTTTTAAAAGGCTACAATTCTCATAAAATAATGAAATTATGCAAAACAATGCCATCCTAGGGATTCAATGGACTATGAATTAGGTGATAATATCTCAACGGGGAAAGTGAAACGAACCTGCTATAAATCTGTAAATCAAAACATATTAATGCAAACAATTTTGACTAGAATTAATGAAAGTAGTGTTTAATTAATATTTGGTTATAAAATAATTTTCATCATAATAAATTTATATTAATAAAATATTTTATTTAAAACATACAAAGTATTTTTCATTTATTTTATTTTATAAATTAATGATTTTAACAATTGTTATTTTACTTATTAATATTTTTTTTATTCATTAAGTAATTGATTTTAATTTTACTACGATACAATATTGCATAGATTATTATAATTTATTTAATATATTTAATTTTGACTATCAGTATTTGATTGTTGATTTTAATTTAATATTAATAATTTAATTTTAAAAATATATCCCTTATATTTTTATTCTTACTAAAACATTTAACACATGATTAAATTGATTTGTTCATATGAATTATTTTTGTCTAACTCTTTGTTCTCCCAGGTACTTGTAAAAAATCTAAAACCTACATTTATATCCCAGTTTAAGTCATTTAAACAGATGTCTTATTAATTTTAGATTGATAAATCATGGAGCGATCAATTTATAATTGTTTTTGGATTACTAATCTACGTTAGATTCATAATTTGATTTAGTTAATTACAATTTACATTTTAATTTATTCTTTTTAAGGTATTATTAATAGATTATTAAGTGTTAATTTATTATTATAAAATTTTTAGTAATCAATGAATATTTTATGAATATCTCAAGTAGAATTTTAATTTGTACTTTTTGCAGCATTAATTTTTAATTTCAATTATTTATTAAACAAACTGCACTAAAGAGTACTTATATTTACCAGTGTATATTCTGTATTTTAAACTTTAGACATTGATTAATATACTATTGTAGTAACACATGTAATAAATTAATAACATTTACGCAATTATCTTATGAATTAATGACGGCATAAATTGTATAAAAGTTTATATAAATTTTTATAATTTTTTATATTAAATTGAGACTTTGTTTGAAATACAAGTAATTTAATATTGGTTAAAATGTTCAGAATTATCACATTCTTCACGTTCATATTATTTTGCAATTCGCAATTATTGACTGATGTGGTATGTTTTAATTATGAAAATTTTAAAATATTTATCAAATTTTTATTAAATATTTGTTCAGTACAACACTGTGGAAAATTCAGTGATAGCTATTTCTGATGGATCACAAGGTATGATCATATTTGGTTTAAAACAATCATTTATATTAGTTTAAAAGTGCTATAATAAACTTTCTATAAATCTTATACAGCTTTACTAAACAAGGTCCCTGTGGACACAACATCTGACTATTGTTTTGGCAATTATACGAATGGTTTCAATGGTTTTATAAATAATTTCACTGGTCTTCTGCCTATGAGTCCCAATGATATGGACGTGAAGTTCCTGTTATTCACGTGCAATAATCGGAATAACTCACAAAACCTGACATACCTGTCCCAATCTAACGAATGGACAACTGCTGGCTTTAATGTCAGTGCTCTCACTAAATTTATAGTTCATGGTTGGCTTGAAAAGTACCCTGGTAACTCACTTGGATTTAATTGGATGGAGGTTTGTTTAATATTAAAAAAGTGTTAATACTAAAATGAATTGCTATCAAATAATTATCTAATATATTATACTAATTAAATATTTACTTTAATAAACTATAAAATGTTTAATTATTTGTGTGCAGCAAATGAAAGACTTAATCTTGAACAACTCGTGCGCTAATGTCGTGGCAATCGATTGGTCTAAACCTGCAGAAGCTGTCGACTATTTCCAATCGGCGGCCAATACTAAAATTGTGGGACAAATGATCGGTTGTGTTATCAATAGACTGTCCGCTAATTTAGGTGTTGATCCACAAAACGTTCATTTGATTGGTCACAGTTTGGGCGCACATGTGGTGGGCTTTGCGGGCAAAAACGTAACCAACCCTAACGTAGGCCACATCACAGCTGATGACCCGGCTGGACCCGGGTTTACTGGACAGCCCCCTAAGAATAGGTTAGCTGTCGGTGACGCCAGCTTTGTTAATGTCATACATACTAATGGCATTCCACCCAATGGTATACCTGGAGTACAAGGTTTGTGTAGAAACTGTAGTTTAAACATTAATTGTTAATCAAACACCTGTTTCAATATAATTAATTAAAATAGGTCTAGGGGATTTGGATGCTCTGGGAAACATTGATTCTTATTTTAATGGAGGTATGATGATTATTATTAATTGTTTTAACCATAAAAGTAATAAATAGTACTTTAAAATTACCCAAAAATAAAACTACAATATAATACCCAGGTAGTCAACAGCCAGGTTGTGGATTATTTAATGCAACACTCATTCCCTTGTTCACCACTTTGCTAACCAATGTCTTGGGTGTCAGTACTGGTATGAATACTTTTGTTTAAGAATATTATAAAGAATTTTAAAATTAATTTTATTTAAATTTCTAAACAGATGTCCTCAATCTGTTTCTCTGTAGTCACGTCCGATCTAATTATTATGCGATCGCCGACCAGTCCTACGCCCAGAGCACAGGCTGTCAACCCATTGCCTATAAGTGCGACTCTTATGACAACTTCATGAGCGGTCTGTGCGCTAATGGCAGTGACAGTCGTCCCATGGAATTGGATCTCAATTATTGGGACAACAAATC